CAGCCTCCCAACTTTGCCTCGTGTTGTGTTTACGATATGCGCGTACGCACAATGACTCACACTACTCGGAACTAACCACACGATCTCAAGAACTTTATAATTGACCAATGGCACGCGTCATTCGTCATTCGTCATTGGACGACTTGATATTAATGGAAAATCACCTCTATTCTGATAACAGAAGGTTGATTTTCCCCTGTATTGGTAAATCGGAAGAGTTTAATTTAGGTAAAGACATCTATTTGTTCGTAGGACCGATAGAGATATATTTGATTTGTATTAAATTTATATTTTGTGGTGTTTAGTTAATTAATGACGCATTGTGTTGAGTTAGTTTACGCAACTAATAATTAAAGACGTTATTACGTTTAATTACATCTTAAACCTACTGAAAGTCCTTATATGGCAATAGGCTCACACCTATTAACATGGGACTCATAACATAAATAGTGAAAAATGGGTGTTACATTGTACAGTGGCATTAAGTGCCGTAATTTGCACCTCTGTCTACCCCTGGGATGATAGGCGTGTTATTATTATTTTAAAGCATGCCTGAAAAGACTGATGACTTTTGATGAAGCGAAAAAGGTATGTAGGGAATCGTAGAAATTGGAGATCCATAGTCTCTGCCTACCCCCATGGGAGACAGGCGTTAGGTCATGCATGTATGTATATGATATGGATAACTATCTCTTTATATTGTTTATTACTGACCCGGGAGTCGTACTTTAAAATTAATTAATTTATTAAAATAAGAATTATATAGAATCGATGTAAAACAGGTTGACATGGTGACGCAACGAATTAATATCTTGAACATATTATTTATTCCACATTTGTAGGTATCTGATTTAATTTTAAGATGAAGAAATGTCACTTCCTAGTGAACTGTTCATTATTTTTATTATTCAACGTATGATAGATGAATTTATTTCTGCAAATAGGCTGCAAGGCAGCACTTTTACACGTCAATTTTATCAAGCGAACGATGAGGCCGACATATCCTAACTGACTACTCTGAGAAGAAAAGCCGAAACAAACTGAGAAGTCCGTCTCTTTATCGAGGAAGGCTAAAGACTGTAAAACATTACGCTATGATCTATAGGAGCCGAGCAGAATGGGTGAAACTGCGCAGGAAACTAAAATAAAGTTATCAAATTACTAAACTACCTTTTAATTGTAATTAGGTAACTACAGCATCACCCAATAACGAGGAAAATAATTCATCACAAATACATTGCTCATCATTACCTACAAACTAACAAACAGTGGAAATAAATCAGTCACGGTGATAATGATGTAATCGTTCGGCAGCCCGTCGGAAGGTTTGTGGTTTCCTTCCCGAGTTGGTACCACTACTGTCAATAGGTACATTAAGTGACGAGTCATCTTGTTAGTGCAAATGTACTAGGAACACGTGGACATCGCATGACTTTAACATATAAGAATCAATACTACACTGACTGCACGGTTGGCGCGGTGGTTGGGTAACTGACTGCCGCGCAACGTGTCGCGGGTTCGATTCCCGCACGGAACAAATCTTTGTGTGATCCACAGATTGTTGTTCCGAGTCTGGGTGTCATGTGTATGTGGACTTGTATGTTTGTAAACGCACCCACGACACAGGAGAAAATCCTAGTGTGGGGCAACGTTTTATCAAAAAAAATATATATATATTTCATGGTACGCCATGGCGGTGCAATCAGTCTCGTCAGTATCGTCACGTCAGTCACTATACGTGACGTGAAACAACGCTTGCGTTCTGTTTTTCTTCTAGTGTTCTGGCTCGGCTGTGGTATCACACCGGTCGAGCCGGCCAATTCGTGCCAAAGCATGGCTCTCCCACACCAACTTGGGCAAATTTAAACTTGTTAAATTTCACGTCAGACTTGAGACATGAACATGTATCCATCACATCTGTACATGTCATTTGTTTTTAGAGTGAAATAAAGTTTTTTCTTTCTTTAACTTCTAACAACTCATCGGTGAATTCATTATCAATTCCTACCTTGACAGTTTTGCAACTTATTAATTGAATTGACAAAAGAACATAATAATATTGCAAGCCATCTGTTCTCCATTGACACCTGTTAATAAAACAATATTGTAATGTGACCGCCACGTGCTAAAGATAAACTAATTCAGGTGAATTGCACTGATTCATTAGTCAGTGGTTCATTTATTATTGTAGGTGGATCCCGGTCGTGTTTATTGTTTGCAAATATTGCAATTTATAGTTCTCTGTACTTGCATTTTTATTGCTGTCACTTTTGGTGTAGATATTAATTATAATAATCATTAACTTTCAATTTAGAAATAAATTGTCTAATTGAAGCTTAGAATTGTATTCATACCTATACTTTTTTTAAAAAAAACCTTGACCTTCATTAAGATATTCTTCTATGTCGAGGGTGCGTTTACAAACACAACGGACAACAATTTGTGGATCACACAAAGAATTATTCCGTGCGGGAACCAAACCTGCTACACGTTGAGAGAGCGTCAGAATCTTACTGACTAAAAACCACCACGTTCCTACTCCTGAACAAATTGTTGTTTCGGATCTGGATGTCACTTAGGTAAAATTGTATATTTGTAAACGCACCACGAAATACAAAAATCCTACCCTGAAGCAAAGTTTTTTTTATCTTAAACTCCACAAAAACATAAACATTGAAACATTCGTTTTACAAAAATCGTCTTTCGCTCGAATTCGCTCAGTACAGTAACATTAATTAGTGTTAATCAACAAGTAATGTTCGTGTATCGTGTAATTGAGGAACGGCCACACAATCAATATGACCTTGTCTGAACATCTTCCGCAACTAAAGCGATACACTACCAAATACTGAGCTATAGACGTCGAGAGAAGAAAATTGTGATGTGGTACTTACACTCGCACCTAACACTATTCTATGCTACTTCTTTATTTACCCACCTCTTAGAAATTCGTAAATTAAACCCTAGAAAACCTGAGGGCCAAGCACGAATAACTATCGCATTCGTATCGTAATAGTATCGAGAGAGGTAAGCGTTCTGACTGGTTGGTTCACTTGAGCCGGCCAATCAGAGAGGCGAACGCGTTCGATACTATTACGTTACGAATGCGATAGTTATTGGTGCTTGGCACTCAGGATTGAACACTGAGCTCAGGGTACTTACTTTTGAAACCAATATCTATGTCAATGCAATGTCAATCCAATAAAATCTCAGTAATGATTCAATGTCAAAACTATACAACCCCTATCGTAGCTCTCAAAATAACATTCAGAGTTCGGAATATAAAGCCGCTAAACTCAATATCATTTGGTTCATTCAATTCACGCAATACGGATGCAATGGGCGCTAGTGTTGCAACTCAAGAGTACGAAATTTTACAATACCAATGTCAATCGATGGGAATTGGATTCAAGAGTAAGCCCCCAGATCACCATAGATGGGGCCCATTAGGGCTGATGTCCAATCTAGTACCGCAGATGACTTAATGGGTTGCTGGGACTCCTTCTCGAAGACCCATGGGTGGTTTTAGTCAATAACAGTCTGACACTTCCTCTCGCCTTACTTTAGACTGGAGGGGACATTGAGATCATATGTTTGTTTGTTACTTCTTCACTTTAGAACAGCTGAAGGAATCGGGATTAAAACATATGATAGATAGATTACATAACATAACATAACATCACGCCTTTTATCCCCGAAGAGGTAGGCAGAGGTGCACATTATGCCACTGTACAATGTAACACCCACTTTTCACTATTTATGTTATGAGTCCCATAGGGGGTGAGCCTATTGCCATATACCGGGCATAATTCCAGACTCCGTGCTACTACTGAGATTTTTTTTAACAACCCAGTAATACTTTGCCCGATCCGGGAATCGAACCCGAGACCCCTTGCCCGGCAATCGCATTTGCGACCACTCGGCCAACGAGGCAGGCAGCAACGAGAGATAGATAGATTATGATCTGGAAACACACAGGCTACATTTTTATCAAAGGAAACCACATGCGAAGCCACTGGCAGAAGGTAGTAGGAGTAAATCAATTATAATATTTGTTAACAAATTTGATTTTCCCCCCAAAAAAAAACACTATCTACCTATGTGAAATAGTCTGGATATTATAGTTAAAATGTTGTTATAACGTTCATAAACATATTATGGATTTTTTCATAAGATGGAGAGGAGGTGCAACGAGCAGATGGACCAACTGCTGGTAAGCAATTACAGCTGCCTGAGCTGCCCTTGGACAAGCACAACACCCGTGTCACTATGCTACGCATGCGCTGCCGCTTTTTAGAAAAGAAATAGACACGTTTTCCCAGAAATTATAATAATAATATAATAATAATAATATTTATTCAGAAAGGTGGTTACAGTTTACTGTTTCACATTATGACTTATACTTATAACAGTTATTCTACAACTGACAGAACGAGCATCCGCGACCGAACTAGGCGTGAGCCTGTATCTCGGCACGCGGCGCCCATTTCCCGCCTTAATAAATAACCAAAAAAAAGCAATTACAATAACAAACGTTTAAGAGTATCACAAAGACCAGTTAAAAACAAAATTACATACCGCATTAAAAAGAAAGAGAAGGAAAAGTAAGGTATAACTATCACCAATATATAGGAACTAGCTGTTGCCCGCGACTTCGTCCGCGTAGATTAATGACTTCTGACAGAATTAACCAGAATCAATTCAGTGCCCTAGTAAGATTTACCTATTTTGAAATGATTTATCGTAGTTTCAATAAATAAATAATCCCGCAGGGATCTTACCAGTACAGTGCCCGATCACGTAAGGTTTGAGTAATAAAAACTATTCTATCGACTATTGTTGTACCAAATCTCTCTAGAATAAGTTCAGTGGTTAAGAGTAAGAGAGTCCTGGGGCATTGACGCATAGTTCCCGTTCTCGTGAGACATCTGTGAAAAAACTATCATACGTTACCCAGGTCCTAAATCATCGTTTTACCGAATGTAATTCAAAAAGATTCAATGATTCTAAATTCAACGGCTAAGAAGATTTATACAAACTCTCATTCCCTATTTTATCCCCTTAGGGGTGGAATTTATCAAAATCCTTTCTAAAGAGATACCTATGTCATAGTAACTTAATGCATGCAAAGTCTCAGCCCGATCAATTTAAAACTGGCAAAGTATCATACAAACTTTCACCCCCTATTTTACCCACTTTGGGGTGAGAATGTTCAAAAATCTTTCTAAAGGGACGTTTACGTCATAATATCCATCTGCACGCCGAATTTCAACCCGATCGGTGTAAAACTGACAAAGCTTCATACAAACGTTCATCCCCTATTTTACCCCCTTAGGGGTGGAAATTATCAAAATCCTTTCTTAGCGGTTGCCTATGTGATAACATCTATCTGCATGTCAAATTTCAATCCGATCGATTTAAAACTGACAAAGTCTCATACAAACTTTCATCCCCTATTTTACTCCCTTGGGGGAGGAAATTATCAAAATACTTTCTAAAGAGATACCTATGTCATAGTAACTTTATGCATGCAAAGTCTCAGCCCGATCAATTTAAAACTGGTAAAGTATCATACAAACTTTCACCCCCTATTTTACCCACTTTGGGGTGAGAATGTTCAAAAATCTTTCTAAAGGGACGTTTACGTCATAATATCCATCTGCACGCCGAATTTCAACCCGATCGGTGTAAAACTGACAAAGCTTCATACAAACGTTCATCCCCTATTTTACCCCCTTAGGGGTGGAAATTATCAAAATCCTTTCTTAGCGGTTGCCTATGTGATAACATCTATCTGCATGTCAAATTTCAATCCGATCGATTTAAAACTGACAAAGTCTCATACAAACTTTCATCCCCTATTTTACTCCCTTGGGGGAGGAAATTATCAAAATACTTTCTAAAGAGATACCTATGTCATAGTAACTTTATGCATGCAAAGTCTCAGCCCGATCAATTTAAAACTGGTAAAGTATCATACAAACTTTCACCCCCTATTTTACCCACTTTGGGGTGAGAATGTTCAAAAACCTTTCTAAAGGAACGTTTACGTCATAATATCCATCTGCACGCCGAATTTCAACCCGATCGGTGTAAAACTGACAAAGGCTCATATAAACTTTCATCCCCTATTTTACCCACTTGGGGGTAGAAATTATCAAAATCCTTTCACAGCGGATGCCTACGTCATAATATCTATCTGCATGCCAAATTCAACCCGATCGATTTAAAACTGACAATGTCTCATACAAACTTTCATCCCCTATTTTACCCCCTTGGGGGTGGAAATTATCAAAATCCTTTCAAAGCGGATGCTTACGTCATAACATCTATCTGCATGCCAAATTTCAACCCGATCGGTTTAAAACTGACAAAGTCTCATACAAACTTTCATCCCCTTTTTTACCCCCTTGGGGGTGGAAATTATCAAAATCCTTTCTTAGCGGATGCCTACGTCATAACATCTATCTGTATGCCAAATTTTAGCCCAATCTGTCCAGCGGTTTGGGCTGTGCGTTGATAGATCACTATGTCAGTCAGTCAGTCAGTCAATCACCTTTGAATTTTATATATATAGATTTGTCTATTTTGTGTGTAATAACAATAAGTCCCTAGGTAATATTTCTTTAGCTTCCATCACATTCAATGAGAACCTAACGGGTAACCGGGGCTCCGGCTCGACGTGCAGGAGTAGGAACGGGGTGGTTTTTAGTCAGTAAGAGTCTGACACTCCCTCCCGCCTCACCCAGGCGGGAGCAGTCATTCGATGATTTTACACCCTTAAAAAAAATGATCTGGTCTTAAAAGCACGTCTTTAGAGTATATGTGCATGTTAAAGTACCTTATTCTGATACTAATACTATAAGGTGACACATACGTACCTACATAATTAATACGTATTGACGTATAGACTACGCATAGTATCCACAGCCTCCTGACTATTTGTCATACACTACACAAATACTAGGACGTCATTTACTCATGGCAGATACTATCCATGACAAACTACATGGTGATGACGTCACACCATGGAGGATTCATCTTCCTTGTGTTATGGGGCAAAGGAAATAAGGAAGTATTAGTCGTTTTAAGTTGATAAGTAATTACTTTATGTTCCCCGTTGATTCAATTTGTTGTTTTTTTTCTGAACTTGTATGATATATAACAAAATTCCTAATTTACCTCTATATAGGTACCCACCCTGTAGTACGATGTATGGTTGTTAAGTATGTTATTTAATCAAACGAAATATAAGTATAAAGAGAGAAGGCTATCGACACACACATTTATTCGTCTTCAAACGTTTTACCAATTCGCGGGCTCCGCCACGCACACAGATAATCTATATCCATAGACTATACCATATTACCATAGAGTATACCACAGATACAAAACAATGGTTAATATAATTAACATCATTATTTGCAGTCGAATAAAAAGAAAAAACCTGAAATAATTTTTCATCTGCAGATAGCTACATAATAATAAATAATAATAAAAATAATAAAAATGTTTATTTGGTGTAAAAAGCCAGATTACAAAATAAATCTTACTATCTAAAAAAATAATCGGCGAGTTAAAGTAGAATTTTTCGCGAAACTGCGACAATAAAGCACTACATAGAGATAATATATAAAACATAACAAGCAGGAAGCCATTTTGGAAATTTTATAAAGACTAATGGCTGTCACATCCCTTTTTTCCAGGATCTTAGTAAAGTTGTCGTTTTTATTTATAGCCAAAGGATGCCGGAGTTAAGGCGTGCCATTTGTCTTGTTTACTGGGTCACAGGGCAAATGCTTCCGACACAACACCGTGCGCCGGCTGAGTAAAAATAAACATTCTTGTCTACAACTATATTGCATGAGGATATTGCCATTTTGGTTGAATATTTTTTTTTTATTTTGCTTTTGGATATTATTTTCAGTCCTTAATACATATATACATAATCTCACGCCTTTATGGGGATACTGCATATCAATTCTTAATCTAATGGAAAAAATTGTATTTTTATCGAGTTCATAGCAATATGTTTAATTTCATTTCATTATTTTTCTTAATCATTATAAGGCCTTATTTCTGCTCGTATGGGAGTCGGTCGAATCTTAAATAATATTGTATATTATATTATAGAAATTTCGTTCATTAGGCTTATGTTATATTTAATTCATTTTTTTTTTACTTTTAGCTTACGAACAATATTAAACTTGTGTTACCTACATAGTACATAGTTCTTCTCCACGTTTACAGTAATGCGTAGATATATCTGAATTGACGTTCAGTGACAATTTACTATATTAAACCAATTACTTATTGCGGTTATTGTATGTTGTGTATAAAGATTGAACGGAAATGTTAAGTCTGTCCTGTAACCTAGTTTGGTTAAATTTATTATTGCTTGCTATGTTTTATTATTAACAATATTAGCAACAAATACTAATAACTAATAATAGTACTAAGAAACATAATACTTATGATTGTATTTGCTATTTTCGCTTCATTATGTTACTGCAATTACTAACAGTGGTTCTACATTGGATGTCATGTGCAAAAAGACTAACAACGGGTCTAACTAAGATTGATACTCTTACAAATCGCTTCACACAAAATACTGACATTGCAAACTTTGAAAGTTTCAATGAATTATATAGTTAAATCAGTATTTTTTAACGGGGGAAAATCATGGAATGACTGTCCCCGCCTGGGCGAGGCGGGAGGGAGTGTCAGACTCTTACTGACTAAAAACCACCCCGTACCTTCTCCTGCACGTCGAGCCGGAGCCCTGGTAACCCGTTAGGTTCGCCGCGACATATAAATCAGTCTATTACCTATTTGCTAGTAGATACTATACCGATTAAGAACCGAATTTTGCAACGGCGGATATTAACTGAGGAATAATATTGTATATTTGACGATTCTTCCATACCTACTAACAACTGTCTAATGTCAATTTTATTCTACCTTTAAGAAAAAACTGGTGACTGAAAAATCGGCCCTTAGAAAGCTTACTTTTTAGGGAATAACATAGTCTGTCAATAGATATATTCCTACAGCATCATGACATTATTGGCTATTTGCAAAGCGAGTAGTGACGGACAGATAACGACCGCAGCGCACAACACGGCAGAAATTGGAAACAAATGCGGATGATCAGCTGTCAAATGTGTTGATTGCAGTACAAAATCAAAGCAAAGAAATGGACCATGGCTCGTATTAAGTAGCTCTGTCCGTTATGTCGCAGTTCTTCCAAATTTCTTACATGCTCTGCTAATACTAATTTATTATTATTATTTATTTTGACTGCACGGTTGGTGCGGTGGCTGGGCAACCGGCTGCCGTGCGACGTGTCGCGGGTTCGATTCCCGCACGGTACAACACTTTGTGTGATCCACAAATTGTTGTTCCGGGTCTGGGTGTCATTGCGTATGTGAACTTGTATGTTTGTAAACGCACCCACGACACAGGAGAAAATCCTAATGCGGGGCAACGTTTTTTTAATGAAAAAAATAAGATGCCTTTTATCTCAGTTTGTGTTTGTGGTTGGAAAATAATATTATGTGTAATAGTTTCAAACCCGGTTTTTATTATTATATTCAATTTACAGTAAAACTAGTGAATAAAATGCACTAAAATAATGTCAACAATACTATTTAAGCGCTTTCCCTTAAGCGCCACTCACCATTTTCCTAACTGTACACCTTCTCTTCTCGACCTTATCCTCGTCTCATCCACACAACACATTGCTAAGCACGGACAATGTCCTGCTGGTAATTTTTCCTACCATGACCTTACATACCTCTCCTACAAAATCCGTCCTCCTAAGTCCAAACCCAAAACTCTTTTCCAGCGTAATTTTGGTGGTATGGATCTTGAGAGGCTCCGTGAGGATGCGCGCAACATAGATTGGTCTGGACTTCTCGCCACTGAAGACATTGATGCCAAATTAAATATTTTCAACACCAAAGTCAGTGAGTTGTACGATGTCCATGCTCCTGTGCGGCCGGTTAAAATTAAGCACGTTCCGGCTCCATGGTTGACGGAGGAGATCAGGGTCATGATTCGGAAAAAAGCTGCTGCGAAAACCAAATTTAAAAGCCAGCCTAGTCCTGTGAACCGTGAGAGATATATTGATATTCGCAATCGCAGCAACAGGATGTGTAGAGATGCACAACGCCGCCACATTCACAAATCTGTCGAAAACGGAGATCCAGCTAAGGTCTGGAAATTTCTTAAGTCTATGGGCGTCGGAAAACCGCGTCAGGATGCTATCTCTAAAGACCTTGATATCGAATCTCTAAATAAACACTTCTCTTCATCGTCCAATATCAATGGATCCTTCAAATCTAAAACTTTAAGCTACCTTTCTTCTCTTCGTACTCCTGATTATTCTCCATTCACCTTCGATCAGATCGCGGCTGGTGACGTTAGGAAGAGTGTGGTTGCTATTGCCTCCAATGCAGTTGGTAGTGATTGTATCAGTCGTAAGATGATACTCCCTGTCCTGGACGAGATCCTCCCAATCATCTGCCACATCCTGAACCATTCCCTGACCAGTTCTGTGTTTCCTTCTTTGTGGAAGGAAGCACAAATTACTCCTCTACCCAAAAAACCCAAACCTGGGAGTTTCTCCGACTATCGCCCCATTTCTATCTTACCATTCCTATCAAAAGTCCTTGAACGCCTCATCCACAAGCAACTTAGTGTTTTCCTCAACAAATACAATCTTCTCAATCCTTTCCAGTCCGGGTTTCGTCCGGGACATAGTACCACTACAGCATTGGTCAACATTACGGATGACATTAGATCTGGCATTGAGAACGGTAATCTTACTCTTCTGGCGTTGCTGGATTTCAGCAATGCCTTTAACACCGTTGACGTCGATATACTGCTGGGAGTACTGAACTCTCTTAACATGTCTCCGGCTGTGACTGATTGGTTTCGTAGTTACCTGTGTGGCCGCCGGCAGCGAATCCATATTGAAGACTCCTTTTCTTCTTGGTCTACTACGACTGCTGGCGTACCGCAGGGGGGCGTTCTCTCTCCTTTACTCTTCGCAATTTTCATAAATTCTATCTCCAACGACCTTCTATCATCCTACCACTTGTATGCTGACGATTTGCAAATTTATTCACAGGCACCTCCTCACGAATTCTCCGAAGCAGTTAAAATGATCAACACAGATTTAGCGCGAATTTCGGAATGGAGTAAGGTTCATGGGCTACGGGTTAACCCTTCGAAGACCCAGCTCATTGTTGTGGGTAGCTCTCGACTGAGCTCAAGAATAATTTGGTCGCAGGTCCCACCGGTTGTATTCGATGGCACTACATTAACGTATAGCGACTCAGTGAAGGATTTGGGTGTTATTATAGACCGGGACTTTACTTGGGGACCCCAGCTGGGGGAGGTCAGTCGGAAGATGTTTGCTTCGGTGAAATCGTTACGTAGACTACGGAACTTTCTTCCCACTGCTACCAAAATTGCGCTCGCTCAATCACTTCTTCTGCCCATCCTTGACTATGC